CGGCACAGGGTGGTAGGAGCTGGGGGCTAACGGCACAGGGTGGTAGGAGCTGGGGGCTAACGGCACAGAGAGCCGCACAGCGCCCCTGGCACTGGGGGTTAATGGCCTTTGTTCACGAGCCAAATGGCAGCATCATGGGATTAGAACAATCAAGCCTCCTATCATGAGTGTACAGTCCTAAGCCAAACATCACCTGCCAAAAAATGAGAATCGTCGGTGCCCTGCGATGGACTGCATCCCTGATTTTCATTGGTGGCTGGATGGATGGATTATGTCAATAGTGAGAAACCACAGTAATACTAACAAAGTATTAAGAGAAGTTTCTGATTGGAGGATATGCAGGAACTTCAGAAACTGGATTCTGTGGTGCTTGACCTTGTGTGAAACGTCTTTTCCAGGCCAGATGGGCTAGGCACCGTCACGCAGGAGGAGAAGGAGCAGTTTGAGGAGGTGCGAAAGCAGCTTCTGACTCTGCTGGAGAACCAGATCATTAACTTCAGGTACGGAGAATGAGCTCCGTGTCTCTCTGACTGGCTCCTGCTGGGGGTGGAGACTCTGGGTCTGGCTCACGCTGTTTCCATGTTGTTCGGTTTGGTTTCTGAATCTTCAGCCACTATACCCATAATGCACCTCTCTGCTCACTTTTCTTAGCATCCTAGCATGTCTGGCCTCACCCCACGAGATCCGTTCACCTGTTTTTTTTTGTTCCATTGCCCTCCGTGGCGGAGGATGGAGGTATTTCGCCAGCCTTTGGCCGTGAGCTGACTGCAGTAACGCAGCAGATACTGTGTACAGGTCGTGTAAGTGTGAGCCTGGAGTGGGAAATGTTTGAGAAGCACAGAGTGTCTGCAACTCCAGGACTGAAGAGGAAGGCAGCAAAGCCGATTAAGGATGACTGAGTACTTGGTTAGTGCCCCCTAGGGGTGAGCAGCAGCCCCAGGCCCCGCCCCCCTAGGGGCTAAAGGCGACTCTGTAAACTTCTTTGTCGACTGACGTCAGACTTTAGGGCTGCGGCCTGCATCCTCTGTCATCGAGGGCCAGCAGTCTGTGCCTATCTTCAGGTAGTTGGGGTGCTCCTGTATCTCATTCTGTAGCCCAGTGTTATGCGTGGTTTCAAATCCCAGAATATTTAAAAAAATAATAACATAAATTGTAACCCTTCCCCCCCCCTGCTAATCACCGTGGGTAAAATATAAACCTGTTGGTTACAGGCTGGGCTGGCGTTCCCTGTTGGACACCCGAGTGGCAGGTTTTGGTCTTTGCTAATGCTATGGAAATATGTGTTATTTAAAGTGTTTTGTCCTGGACTGTTCTTGTTCCGGTGTCCTACCCAGGGTGTACCCCTGTCTTTGGTGTCTGGGATAGACTACAGCCCCCTGTGAACTTGACCTTGGATGGATGGATGGATTGTCCTTGTAAGCATCCATGTAGTCACATGTGTACAGGACTCCTCTCTTTTCAAACTCTACAGCAAAGCTGTTATTGTTTCTGCGTAGAAAAGGATCATGGGAATCGCTGTTCTCCACAGTGACCACGCCTTCATTTTCTCACCTTTTTTTTTTCCTGCTGTATGTAGGTCCATCATTTTGACATCCTCAAGTGCCCCAACTTTCCATATTTAATTTCCCATTTTTCAAAGGGGTGGAATATAGAGGAGGATGTGAAAACACCTGCATGTTCTTGTGTGTACGCAGGTACTGCTTTCCATTTGGGCGGCCAGAGGGGGCGCTCAAAGCCACATTGTCTCTGCTGGAGAGGGTATGTCAGCTCTATTGTGGATATGTGGACAGGGTTCTGAACCAGTCCTAGAATTTCCAGATAATTCTCTCATTTACAGAGCTCCTCTCTTGTTACACAGCCCTGTAGTTTATCGTGACCATCTTAAATCAGACAACCCCAATTACCTTCAGAACTCAGGCTGATGAACCCAGGCGCTCAAAGACACTGCTAAGCTATGGAAATGTGGTGCTTTTCTGGTCAGTTTATTTGTGGTCTTTGAGCTCAGAGCTGTCAAAAATGTTTCAGACCCACTGAGTTTGAGGGTTTGAACAGATTTTGAACAGATTAGATCTAAACTGAGACTGTCAACATGCATTTAGTTTTTTACGGTTAAATAACTAGACCTGAGTGTTTTTGACTGTGTGTCAAACCGCCAGGGGCAACATACGAACATTTGTTTTGTGTAGGACTTTCCCATAATGCAACAATGGTTCCCTGTTTTTCTCCATTGCCAACACCCCTCCCAGGTCCTGATGAAGGACATCTCATCACCACCTCCGACAGAGGAACTGAGAGAGCTTGTCCAGAAATGTCTGAAGAAAGCAGCTCAGGTTAATTACGCTCAGCTCACAGACTCCTCACATATCCAAGGTCAGTCCTGTTTGAGGATCTGAGGTGACGAGTCCGGATTGGTGGGGGAGCGACTGAGGTGACGAGTCTGGATTGGTGGGGGAGTGACTGAGGTGACGAGTCCGGATTGGTGGGGGAGCGACTGAGGTGACGAGTCCGGATTGATGGGGGAGCGTCTGAGGTGACGAGTCCGGATTGGTGGGGTAGCGTCTGAGGTGACGAGTCCCGATTGGTGGGGGAGCGTCTGAGGTGACGAGTCCGGATTGGTGGGGGAGCGACTGAGGTGACGAGTCCGGATTGGTGGGGGAGCGACTGAGGTGACGAGTCCGGATTGATGAGGGATTATGTTGATCACATACCTGTTTTGCTGGCACTCATGATGAGATCCCCATTGCTGGCATGTGTGATATTTCGCCAGAAGCTCAGGCTTCTCCAGAGAAACATCTGGAGGCAAACATCAAACTAGCAGGTCTGGGTATCGAAGTCCTGCAGCAGATCCATGAGCACCACGTTGAGGTGAGATCGGGCCGTTAGTTTCCACAGCTATAACCAATAATCTCCCAATTCTTTACGAGACTTTCTATGTTTTTGTGTGAAAATGTGATGCAATCTTTCAAACAAGTTTTTGCATCAATACTCTGATGGGCACCGTTTGACTGTGGATATAATAATGATTTTGTGGAAAACAGAGTAACCAGACATTTAGCTGGAGAAAAATGCAGACCCTCTGTTTGTTTGTCTAAAACCAAATTCTTAGTACCCTGATAGTTGATCGTTCCTGGGAAGATTTTTATGGGGGATAAACATACTGGGAGAGAATCAAGGGCTTGAGCTGCTCTGTAAATTCTGAGAACTGGAATGTCAGACATACATTTCTTAGGGCTGTCTGACAGCATCAGACAATAAGCCCAAGACACCTGGTGCTAATCTCTTTACAGGATAAATACAGTAATTAGTCTACGAAGTCTATGATACATTGTTCAAATGTCTGAAAGCTAGTCAGATGACTCTCTCTCTCTTTCACGCTGGCCTCCTGCAGGGACGGGAGGTAAGTGTCATCGCCAGGGTCTGTCCACCATGTCCGCCCGCCCGCCCTTTCATTGCTCCAAGCACAGCTTAGCTGCGACTCATTGACATGTGCGCTCATTGACGTGTAAGGCACACCGTGTGAGGGTGTGCAGAATGCCGAACACGCCGTCCACTGGAATGCGGAACTTTTCGTTGAATGCTGTTGCTCAAGACGGATCCGGCGGTTGGCGGTTATGTAGCCTTGTCACCATAAATGCCGGGAGGTCAACTGCAGACTTGAGAGGCACCCTTTTGTTACTTAGAACGCAAGTGACAGTTTGATGACGGAGAATGGAAGGAAGATGGCCTGTCAGACCGGAAGGAGGTGTGTAGGGTCGGGCAGCTGGCGTGTTAGCAGCCTTTGTAAACCCAGCTCTTTTGCCCCAACAGTAAGATCACTCAGATACAGTAACGTAGCGCAAATCAAGCTGAAATCCAAAACATCCTGGAGTATGTTTCCAATTTCAAGAAATTTAATATTATCAATCCATGAATCGATCAGATAATGTCTGATCCTTTGTACGTCACATTCATTTTTGTAATATAAAACGTGGTATAATGAAGTTCTTCCTGAAATTATGGCTTTAACAAGATACCACAGGGAATAGGAGTTTGGAAAGATGACGATTTCCATTCTTGGTCCTTCGGTGTCTCTCTTAATGTCCATCTATCTTTTTCATTTCACTTTGGTTTTCTCCGCTGATTCCTTTGACTCCTGTTTCCATTTCATCGCCGTTCTTGCTGGTCCCTCCAGGCCTTCCCCTGGTGGCCAGACGCCATGGCTGAACACGCTGAAGCCTTCCTGTCCCTGTACACCGCGGACATGGACGCCGCCCTGCAGGTGCAGCCCCGCGACTCGTGGGACAGTCTCCCCCTCTTCCAGATGTTCAACAACTTCCTGAGGCCTGAGCGTGAGTGGGTCCTGCTCGTTGAAGAGCTGTAATCTGACAGATAGCTCCATTAGTTAGAGATAACTGCGAGTGTTCTGATGGACCTAGGTTTGCCAAATCAATTTGTCTGGGGGGCAGTGTGTGGCTCTGGGTTTGGCCTCTGCCTGTGATCAGAAGGTTGCTGGTTGAAATCCCATGCTCAGTGAATCAGCAATGTCCTTGTGCAGTAGTGGGTGATTGTGGACTGATGCTATGTGTCTGTGATGGGATTGTTGTTGAAGTCTGTTCTTATAGCCTATATTTGTGTGTGTGTGTGTGTGTGTGTGTGTGTGTGTGTGTGTGTTATTATTGGTGTAATATGTTAAGGGTCGAAATGTCTTATGTTCTTACTCTGTTTGTATTGTCATGCCAATGATGTCTGATATGGTTTATTCACTGACAAATAGATTCCCTTTGGGCACAATAAAGTATCTATCTTGTTGGGTCCTTCAGGAAAGTCCTTAAAAGTCCCCTCTGACCCAATGCTTCACTCTATTTGTGTTTCTGTCTTGGTTCACCTTACTGATGTACAGTAGTAATCTATATGCCATCCATATTATGGGCCAATCACCTTCTTGTCCTTTCTCTCCAGCTCTCCTGTGCAACGGGACCTTCCACAGGCACCTGCAGGACACCTTCTTGCCCTTGGTGGTGCGCTACGTCGACCTGATGGAGGCGTCCATCGCCCAGTCCATCCACCGCAGCTTCGAGCAGGAGTCCTGGCAGTCTGTCAAGTATGGCTCTTCGTTTCCTCTCCATTCACCACGTGCCCTCTGACCCCAGAAGCCATAGATAAGATGTGATCACCATCTTGGAGACACGAGCATGGAAGGTGCTGAATTTATTTCAAGCGGAACAATACGGTAACAGGTCAGGGAGCTTTTTACAAAGATGTAGTCTGACATTTCAAGGGGACCAAGGGCAACACTACATGGTGGCACAGAGTGCGTCCAAGCGTCGGTCTGATCACTGTGAATACGCCGCGGCGTCGTGTTTGGAAATGCGTGACAGGCGAGCGCGTGACCCCGCATGGGAGAGCAGAAACCACAGAGGCTTTGCATGAGACGTCCAGTGGCGAGTGAGACACGGAAAACATGCCGTAGGTGATGAAAAATGGCGAAGCAAATGGAAAAGAAAGAGGGTTAGAAGATGATGGAAAATCGGCGGAGGAGCCGTGGCAGATAGTCGAGAGCTGCTGGTGCCGCTGCCAGCCACATCACCATCTTGGTTTGTTGTTGTTTTTTTTTTTTAAAGTAAAACTTTGAGGTCACAAATTACCGTAGTACATAAGCCACTCAGCTAACTCCACCCAATGAGACACTGGCCTTCCCTGTGTTGCTGTGGATGGTGCATTGATCTCATGGAGCTCACATCACCATCTGCTGGACTGGATCTACAGGAACCCAGGGCCTAATGGCTTGGAACCCGCTTTAGTTACCCGAGGAACTAAACTACCTGCTCCACCAACGGGTAGTTTCACGCCCAAAAAACTTTGTTCCAGAACCAGTACTTTTGTCGTGTTCAGACCACAGGATTATAGTTCTTTGAAAGCAGTTCTGGACCCCTTTCTTAGTACCTACTCCAGTGGTAGGTACTAAGAAGGTAGGTACTAAGGGTAGTTTTTGTTCAAATACAAACTACTTGGGAGGTGCTTATGGCAATAGCTTGCTGATTGGTTAACACTTACAGCCATAGCTTGCTGATTGGTTAACACTTACAGCCATAGCTTGCTGATTGGTTAACACTTACAGCCATAGCTTGCTGATTGGCACCAGCACTAACATAGAAGTTATGTGGAAGTGCAGAGAATGAGATAAAATAGTGGAGCAAAAATTGAGCAGATAGAATTACCATATTTGCCGACGTATAAGACGACTGGCCGTATAAGACTACCCCCTCTTCCGCTCCTCTCAACACCGCTCCTCGCTCCACTAAAATTTCCTCCCGCTCCAGTCAAACCGCTCCACGCTCGCTCCAATTTAAAAGAGGGACAAATAATCTGCATGCCTAACAAATGTCACCTTAAATCGATGTCTTATATCATAAAGAAATGTGAGCAACGGCACTCGGAACAGAAAATATTTCTTTTTAAACAACATATAGGCAACAATGGACAGGTTTGGCAATGGCATTCCACACAAAATAGGCTTAAAAATAAAGGAATCAGTGGGCTTAATAGCCTAAAGAATATACAGGTTAATCGCATCCACGTTTTAAATTCCTCAGTTATTTTCTGTTGATGCTGCGTCTCTCTATAAAATAAAATTTCACTGACAGCGTTACGTGAATTTAAAAAATCTTATTAGACCTAATTTGAATGACAAACTAATTTATTTGATTACCAAATTATAGGCTTTTATACTTTTATTTACTTTATAGACTTGATATGCTACAACCATATAAAACCTGCTCACGTTTTGCTCTGGCCTCCGCGTGTTCGCTTAGCACACTCATGTTTCAGAGAAAGGTCTTTTTCGATTCCAAAGCGGATCTAAATCTTGATAATTGTATAGATGAACTCTGGGAAGATTTGCGCACGCCTTGTGGTCGTAGTGTGAGCGGTATCGGAGCGAAATTGGAGCGAGACAGAGCGACCGCTCCAGCCTTAATTAAAAAACCGCTCCGCGCTCTGACCAAATTTCGCCCGCTCCACTCCGCTCACATGCTCTGAT